GGTTGGTAAAGGGGTCAGACCTGTTCATTAACGGACACGTGACCAAGAAGAATGCCGACATCATGAGGAAGGCCTGGTTTCTGAGGAAGAAGAAGATCCAGTCCAAGTGGACCTCTAACTATAAGGTCTTCATCAAGCTGAATGGACTGAGTAACTGAACTGAATGAGCACTGGAGGAGGCAAGCTGGGTAAATATGACTAAAATCTTCAAGGAACATCTGAAGCACAACTATTATCACACACAACTCACTTTCACCATGTCACAAGTTACAGGAACTAATTCTGAAATGAAAAAATATCAAAGGAATTTGGAATCTATTAAATAATTTTATCAAGAAAAACTCGAAAAATATTTTGTAAGTGTGGGAAGCAAAGTAGCAGAAAAAAATCCTGAATTCTACAACAACTGGAGTTCTGAATGAAACATTAATCAGCAGAAATCCTTATTCAAAGTTTGTAACTGCTGTGAGAGGTGTGACAATGAAGTAACAAGAGGTCAACTAACTGTAATGGCATTGATAAGAGAGTAATTAAGAAGGTAATTGAGGAAATCATTCAGCCTCTGAATTGCATTTGCAATCTTTCATTTCAGTCGAGTAAATTTTCAGAAAAGATAAAAATTACCCAAGTTACTCCACGTTATATATCTGGGGACAGACACCATTTCACAAATTATAGGCCTGGGTTCTCTACTTCCACAGTTTTCTGAAAAAAATGTGTAGAAATTATTTGTGGATATATTAGATACATTCATTAATAAACATAAACTGCTTACTGAAAATCAGTATGGATTTAGATCACAAACATCAACAGCAATGGCTGTCATTGAATTGATAGAAGTCAGGAGCACCTTAGAGAATAAGAAATCTGCAGTTTGTGTATTTATTGATCTCAAAAAAAGCTTAACAATGTAGAAATTTGAAAGTTATGGAGTAGTACTACACTGGATGAAAAGTTATCTAAGCAACAGGCAATAATTTGTCCAATTGGTTGGCTGCCAGTCATGGTGCTAGGACATTGTTTGTTGTATCCTCCAGGGGTTAGTATTGGGGCCAAATTTATTTATCCTGCTACCATCTTTTGTACAGGTGATAATTTGCATCAGCTGATGGCTGATATCAACTTTGAGTTACAATGTTGAGGGTTTGAAATGTACGTATCCTGATAGATAATGTAACAGTAGAGAGTTAAGGAAATGAAGTTCTTGGGAGTAATGATAGACAATAAGATTTGCTGGAGACCTCATATAGAATACCGTATTTTAACGACCATAAGGCGCACCGTACTAAAAGGCGCACTCTCAGTTATGTGTCCCATTTCTGTATTTAACACACACATAAGGCGCACCGGACTATAGGGCGCGTTTTTTATATACAGGTACATGTCCTCTACTACGTTTAAATACCTCTACTGCGTATTTATAAATACAGCGGGGGCAAAACTGAGTATGATTGTGCTTTATTCATGTATTTATTACAAAGTATTAATCAAACCTGCGAGCTGGCCGTGATACAGACACATCTCAGATGACACAGCGCTGTGATCACTCCTAAATTAACTTAAAATCCTGAAACCTGCCGACGGAATATGTTCGCTTTTATTACCGGTATCCTGGTGCCTGCAGTTTAAATTATTTAGATGAAAAATACCTGCCAGCCACCGCGGTGAACCCGGAGGCTGCCCGGCCTAGAGGCTGCTGTTGAAGGGATTTCTTCTGTCGGCGCACCGCTGGTATGTGGGGGTCTGAGCGGCTCCGACAGAAATAGATAATCTAGATGAACTGACTGCAATTATTAAGTTTTCAGGTGGACTTTCTCACTTAAAAACATATTAAAACTACTTTATTCCCACTGATCACAGCAAATATAGCTGCAAGATTTAGATTATTTAGATGAAAAACACCTGCCAGCCGCCGTGGTGAAACCGGAGGAGACCCGGCCCAGAGGCTGCTGTTGAATTAAGTTTTCAGGTAGAAAAATAGAGCGGGAGCAAAACTGAGTATGATTTTGCTTTATTCATGTATTTATTACAAAGTATTAATCAAACCCATCAAAGTCATCATCCTCTGTTTCTGAATTAAACAGCTGCGCTAAATCAGGCATACCAATTTCCCCTTCTTCGCTGTCAGAGTCACTTTCCGTGCCGGGAGGTTCCTCGGAAATAATGCCGGCTTTTGCGAAAGCTTGAACAACAGAGCCAACAGAAACGTTAGTCCAAGCATCAACAATCCATCCGCAAACGGTGGCGTAACTTGCCCGGCGCTGCCTTCCACTTATCCTGAAACTGTGGTCTCCGTCTGTCATCCATCGCTCCCACGCCGCTCGCAGCCTTACTTTGAACGACCGCTTCACACCGATGTCGAGCGGTTGAAGTTCCTTTGTCAGACCTCCCGGGATAACAGCGAGCACAGCGTTTATTTGATTCACCATGTTTTTCACATCGGCTGTGAGATGGGCACGCAGTCACAGATTAACAGCGATGGTGATGCGTGGAAAAAACCACCTGGTCTCCTCACATACACCTGCCTCAGACACGCTTTCATCATCTCCTCATCCATCCAGCCCTTTTCATTTGCCTTAATATCATATGTCATCAGAGCGCTGTGTCTGTCTCGCTGTCAGCTCCCAGATCAGCTTCTCTGATTGGTTGATGCGGCGCGTCCAGCAGCAAAACTTCAATTTTTCCATCTCGAGCAGCAGCAGCGCGTTGGCGGTGCGTCAGATGCTTAAACGCTCCCGACGCGCAGCGCCTGCTGCTCAAAACGCGCTGCGGGACCTTTTGCTGCCTATACGCGCATCAACCATTGACTTTGCATGTAAACTCGCTGCTTCTGCTGCACCTGCTGGGTCCGGTTCACACCGATGTCGAGCGGTTGAACAGCGAGCACAGGGTTAATTTGTTTCCCCATGTTTTTCACATCAGCTGTGAGATGGGCACGCATGGAGTCACATATTAACAGCGATGGTGATGAGTGGAAAAAAACACCTGGTCTCCTTACATTCAGCCACTCTTTCATCATCTCCTCAATGAGGTGGTCTCAAAAGTCGCAGTTGCAACACACATAGGGCGCACCGCACATTTTGAGGGAAAAAAAAGACGTTTAGGTGCGCCTTATAGTCGTGAAAATACGGTACATTTAAACTAAAATATCCAGAAGTGTTGCTATTCTCAGCAAACCTAAACATTATGCTGGACTTCATATTCTCTATTGTGCACTTGTATTACCTTACTTGAGTTACTGTGTTAAAATATTTGGCAACACCTATAAAATCTCGCTGCGACCGATATGCACATCACAAAAAAGGGCCATCAGAACAGTTCATAAGGCAGATTTCATGATCATACCAATTATCAGGTTTATTTGGTGGAGAGTATTGTTTCTATTTAAGTTGAGGTGAATTTGGTTCGTTTGGAAATTGCTGTTTGGTTTGGTTGAAAAAAGCTTGTCTCTTTTGTATGTATTTGATTGATTCATTAATTGTTGTTTGTCAGATTGTCTGAAATAAATTCATATTCATTCATTCATATATTAGTTTGGAAAAGTATTAGTTGTTAAGTCAAGAGTTCTTAACTGAAATATGTTTTAGTTGGGGCTAAAAATTTATTTTAATAAACTATTATATATTTAATGGAATTTCTGGTGAATTGTTTCTATATGTGTGCAGTTACAGTATCTGTATAAATCGAGCTTGATTCACACTTTCATTGTTGTTCTAACACACAGTCAGTAGGGTGTTTGTTCACAGAATAATATATGACAGTCCAAATATTATCTTATTAACTAGAAAAGAGTATTTACCCCTTTTCTCCGGTGGGCATTAAATATATTATAATTGCATAAAAATGGAGAATGCTTACAAGTTATATAAAATTGTAACTATTTTGGCGGTACCTTTGATTCATATTTAATCTTTAGAGACCATGTAAGAAAAACCTCCAACATCATCTAACTTAAGTTATCAAATTTTAAAGGCAAAATCTAACTGTAGGCTGTGCACCACAGGCTTATATGCAGGGCTCATATACAAGGTTTCACCTTCTTTTTTTAAGTAATATTAATCCAAATAAAACAAATAAATAGGATATTGTCATGTTCGGCTGAACGTATTTAGCCCACATGCAGAAAACACACGGCAACAGGGATCAGTTAACTGTTTATTGAGAGAGAGAAAATGAAAGCAACGGAGTCGACGGGGAAGCCACAGCACCGGGACCCGTTCGACTTTTGAAAGGAGTAGTAGGTGATTAGCCGGAAAGGGCGATCAGGCAAAAAATGAACAGAGGAACGTGAGCTTACCACCGGACGCAGCAACCTAACCGGGGGATGACGGAGCGGACTCAGGCTCTGATCGATGGAGCTGGTGGCAGGTGTCTCAGTGACAGGTGAGGCTCGGGCTTAACAATGATCCGGGGCAGCAGGAGAAACCAGAGTGGCTCGAAGCACCTTGCTTTGAGCCAGGAGAAAGGGAGGACCCTGTGGGAACTCAGAACCTGGAGTCAGCACGAGTGGGACCCTCTGAAAGGCGATCGAGAGGTAACCTGGGGAACACAGAGGTTTGGGTTAACGAGGGAAGTCTGAACTCAGTAGAGAGACTGTGGCCTTAGTCGTACCACTACGGTTAACACTCTGGCGTCCTCCTGCTGTCTGGATGCTGCTCATATAGTGCGATCAGACGCAGCTCAACCAGCCACAGGTGTGTGCGCCCTGCCCACCTGTCAACTGCAAACACCTGCGGAGAAAGCAGAAAGAAGCAGAACCGGCAGAAACTGCACGGCCCTGTCGGCTGAGTCCTGACAGATATACTTTCTATAATATATTGAAGGAAAATAAAAAAGGAAAAAAAAACAGCATTTAATTCCAAAGAGTATTCTCTACCAAGCCCTACTACAAAGGAAGCCATGCTGATATGTGTGTTTAATAACTGGGTTCATTTATTGTGTTATTAGTTTCAAATATGTTACAACATTGTTTTCTTTATTATAGAAAATTAAGACATTTTCAACATGTAATTTGTCTGCAGCAATGTTACAATGATATTTTATCTGCAAAACTCTATATATAACTCTATCAATGTGTGAGTGTGTGCGTGAATGGGTGAATGAATGTAGTGTAAAGCGCTTTGGTCAAGTCTCCTGACTTGAATAAAGGCGCTATATAAGTACATGCCATTTACCATTTACCATATAAGAGATGTTTAGGGAGTTTCTTTTTTTTCTCTCTGTTTTTCAGCTTCACCTTTTATGTGCAAAAAGTAAACCCTAAGAATGTGGTTGGGGGAAAAAGAAACTGACCAGTTCTTAAAGGATCTACAATAACTGCTGCTTTTAGTTGGTTAAACCAGTTAAATAAATGCTGGAAAAGACTTCAACCAATATAACTATTGCTTTATGAACAAACTCCATCCCACATTCACTGAAAATAACTTTACATCTCTGTCCATTCTTTAGATTAAGCTTTAGTGCAAATTCAAGTTAACAAAGTTTTCTTTAAAGATTTTCCCAGAAATAATCATCTTGAAGGCCGACCTGAACCAGCTATAAAAGAAACTATAAATAAATGGATTTAGTGTAGAGTTTGACAGTGCAAGCCAAGCAAGAATTTCAATAATATGAATTGGTGCTAAATTATTTTCTAAAGGTTGAAAGGTGATGTAAAAGAAGAAAGGAGCCCAGCAGAACAGAAAAGCTCCTAAAACAACAGCCAGAGTTTTGGTTGCTTTTCTCTCCATCTTACTGACTGTTGCTCCAGACTTTGTCGTAGATTGGATGCTTCGTGCTTGTCTCTGTGCAACAGCAAATATCTTCATATAAATGCAAAGCATGATGACAACAGGAAGGTAAAATGAAAATAAAGCTCCAACACTGTTCGCAATGATAACGTCAATAAAGCATGTGTCCTGACATTCATCATTGATTGATCTAGTTTGCACCACAGCGATTGCAACAAGCACAGAAACACCCCAGCTCACAGCAATCATGATGAAGACAACACGACCATTAATTTTAGATTTATATGTTAGAGGCTGACACACTGCATGATATCTGTCAACAGAAATACAACACAGATGCAAAATAGAACATGTGCTGAGCAATACATCTAAGCTGTCTCTTATCTTACAAAACATGTTATTGTTGTACAAACATGAGCTAAGAGAAAAGGACATGCTTAAAGGAAATACTAGAACACCAACCAGCAGGTCAGCCACAGCCAAAGACATAATGAGAGTGTTGGTGGGAGTGTGGAGTTGTTTGAAATAAGAAATAGATATTATTACAAGGAGGTTTCCACATACCGTGAGAAGAGACAAAAATGCCAAAAAACTATACACTAATACACACACAGCAGAGGGAGTTGCTGTTACCTTTAGACTAATGTGATTAATCTCATAGCAGGGATGCAGAATGTCAGTCACAACATTATTCCTGTTTTCCATTAGGACCTAAAGCTAAATCCAAATCTATTTCAACAAAACAATTACACACATAAAACACATTGGATATTTCAAAAGGGAATTATGTGAATGTGAGAACTCCTGAAATATGTCTGTTAAATTTTTTATCCTGATAAACTTTTACCATTAGAACATCAGTGCAACTCGCTGACTACCATATGCGTCTCTGTGGAACCAGTCAGTGTGTCGGTGCTGATCGCTCTGAGCTAAATGGTCTCTATGCTCACATATTTAATGCTTACTTACCCATCCCCTTTTTGGATCCCACAAGTTTGAAAATGAGGATGGGAGGGACTGGTGAATTTGTTCTGTGTCTCTTATTTACAGTGTCCCAACGGTAGTTTACCATGTATTTACCCTTTTCTTTCATTTGTTTTTGTTGTTGCTTAAGAGTTGATGTAAATGGATATGTATAATACAAAATTTTAAATTAAAAACTCTTCTGCATTTATAACTCAAGCTGACAGAACTAATTTTTTTAAACTCTTAGGTCGTGATCTACTGGGATCAAAAGTAAGAAACTCTAGTTACAAGGCTGGTTGAGACTGATCTACTAAAATTGATAAGTCTAAAATGGGTGTGAATTGTGTGTTTGATGGAGAGTTTGGAAGTAAAGATTTCATTTTGCAGGTACTGAATACAGTGTAACAATGTAGATTGCTACATTGGCAAGAATCATGATAAGGAGAAAGGAAAGGCTTTCTCTGTTCATATCCGATAAATACAACTAAGCTAAACTATGAAATTACTTTGAGGCACAAAGACTACAGAGTATTTTCCTGCACCTTAATAACTCCAAGTGTTGCAAGCACTCAATTTCATTGAGTGGTTGAATGTCACTTAAAAACACTGCTGGCATCTTTCTACACACCCTGAGTACAATAATTTTCTTAAATAAATGAACTTTAAATATTTTTGTTTTGTTTTGTTATCGACTAAATTATAGTGTTTAATTGCATTAAAAATAAAGGGGAAAATTGTTGTTTGTCCAGCAGAAATTCCCAAGAAAAATAAACAGAACTGCATATTGAAAGAAAAGAAGATAAAGGTTTGTGTGCTTTTCATTTTTTTTTCTAGATTTTATTTATATATTTTTTATTTTTCTACATTTTACAATCTGAGTTTTCCATCAGCTACCATGTTAGGCTCCTTTAGAAGTGCTCTGATTACTCTACCGTAGTTTGTAACACAACAGAAAAAAAGCTAAAGGGCACAAAAGCACATGTACTTCCTGAGGAGGATTAGGAGGTCCCACTTGCCCCCACCCGTCCTCACAGCCTTCTACAGAAGCACCATAGAGAGCGTTCTGACCAGATGTCTCACTGTTTGGTGTGGAGGCTGCAGCGCCGCAGACTGGAAGGAAGTGAGAAGAGTGGTGAGAACAGCAGAGAAGATCATCGGGGCTCCTCTTCCCTCCATAAAAGACATTTCATCTCAGTGCTGCGTGTCCCAAGGCCGAAACATTATAAATGACCCATCAAACCCCCAACATGGACTGTTCTCCCTGTTGCCCTCTGGCAAGAGACTTTGAAGCATCCGATGCAAGTCCAACAGATTCCAGAACAGTTTCTTCCCCACTGCCATTAGACTGCTGAAAGGTGCATAAAATGGGGTTGAAAAAAAAAATAGAAAAAAAATATATATATAATATATATATAAATATATACCAGTCTATGTTTACATTTTTTCACCATGTTTACTTTTTATCACTGCTGCACTTTAGAAATGGAAAAGTCTTAAGAGCTGTACGGATCGAAATTTCTTTTTGTATACACACTGTGTGTAAAAGATGACAACAAAGAGCTTTTTTTACCCTTTCCGCTCATTTTCTTTAGCCAAAGGTAACAGAGTTGGGTGCAGCTATCTTTGTTTGGAGCGTTTTGAGTCAGTGTTTTTTTTTTTTTTTTCTCTTCCACTGCTCTCATCAGAATCAGAATCAGAAATACTTTAATATTCCCAGAGGGAAATTACTTTTGTTACACGCTCCAGTTGCAGTTTTATATATATATATATATATATATATATATATATATATATATATATATATATATATATATATATATATATATATATATTATATATATATATATATATATATATATATATATATATATATATATATATATATATATATATATATATATATATATATATATATATATATATATTATATTATATATATATAAAACTTCAACCAATATCACTATTGCTTTATGAACAAAATCCAGCCACATTCACTGAATATAATTTTACATTTCTGTCCATTCTTTAGATTAAGCTTTAGTGCAAATTCAAGTTAACAAAGTTTTCTTTAAAGATTTTCCCAGAAATAATCATCTTGAAGGCCGACCTGAACCAGCTATAAAAGAAACTATAAATAAATGGATTTAGTGTAGAGTTTGACAGTGCAAGCCAAGCAAGAATTTCAATAATATGAATTGGTGCTAAATTATTTTCTAAAGGTTGAAAAGTGATGTAAAAGAAGAAAGGAGCCCAGCAGAACAGAAAAACTCCTAAAACAACAGCCAGAGTTTTGGTTGCTTTTCTCTCCATCATACAGACTGTTGCTCCAGACTTTGTCGTAGATTGGATGCTTTGTGCTTGTCTCTGTGCAACAGCAAATATCTTCATATAAATGCAAAGCATGATGACAACAGGAAGGTAAAATGAAAATAATGGTCCAACAATGCTTGCAATGATAACGTCAATAAAGCATGTTTCCTGACATTCATCGTTTGATCTAGTTTGCACCACAGCAATTGCAACGAGCACAGAAACACCCCAGCTCACAGCAATCATGATGAACACAACACGACCATTGATTTTAGATTTATAAGTTAGAGGCTGACACACTGCATGATATCTGTCAACAGAAATACAACACAGATGCAAAATAGAGCATGTGCTGAGCAATACATCTAAGCTGTCTCTTATCTCACAAAACATGTTATTGTTGTACAAACATGAGCTAAGAGAAAAGGACATGCTTAAAGGAAATACTAGAACACCAACCAGCAGGTCAGCCACAGCCAAAGACATAATGAGAGTGTTGGTGGGAGTGTGGAGTTGTTTAAAATAAGAAATAGATATTATTACAAGGAGGTTTCCACATACAGTGACAAGAGACAAAAATGCCAAAAAACTATACACTAATACACACACAGCAGAGGGAGTTGCTGTTACCTTTAGACTAATGTGATTAATCTCATAGCAGGGATGCAGAATGTCAGTCACAACATTATTCCTGTTTTCCATTAGGACCTAAAGCTAAATCCAAATCTATTTCAACAAAACAATTACACACATAAAACACATTTGATGTTTCAAAAGGGAATTATGTGATTGTGAGAACTCCTAAAATATGTCTGTAATACTGTTATACTAATAAACTTTTACCATTACAACATCAGTGCAACTCGCTGACTACCATATGCATCTCTGTGGAACCAGTCAGTGTGTCGGTGCTGATTGCTCTGAGCTAAATGGTCTCTATGCTCACATATTTAATGCTTACTTACCCATCCCCTTTTTGGATCCCACAAGTTTGAGAATGAGGATGGGAGGGACTGGTGAATTTTTTCTGTGTCTCTTATTTACAGTGTCCCAAGGGTAGTTTACCATGTATTTAGCCTTTTCTTTCATTAAAAACTCTTCTGTATTTATAACTCAAGCTGACAGAACTCTTTTTTTGAAACTCTTAGGTCGTGATCTACTGGGATCCAAAGTAAGAAACTCTAGTTACAAGGCTGGTTGAGACTGATCTACTGAAATGGATAAGTCTAAAATGGACTGTTCTCCCTGCTGCCTTCTGGAAAGAGGCTTCAAAGCATCCGATGCAGGTCCAGCAGATTCCAGAACAGCTTCTTCCCCACTGCCATTAGACTGCTTAAAGTTGCATAAAATGGGGTTGAAAAAAAAGAAAAAAAAGTCCTGTATGTTGGAAACTGTAAATCACATACCAGTCTATGCTTACATTTGATCACCATGATTACTGTTTGTCACTGCTGCACCTTAGAAACTGAAATGTCTTGAGAGCTGTTCTAAAAAAATATATATATATATTTTTGTATACACTCTGTGAGTACAAAATGACAATAAAATCTAAGTCTAAGTATAAAATCACTTGTAGTATTGACAGCTGAATCAGAGGTTGCAGACTGGTACCAGTGGAACTACCTAATGTTAAATGTAGAGAAATCTTAGGAGATGGTGGAGGGCTTTCAAAGGTGCATAAAGTCCTCTAAGTAATTGTGATTTTTGCTTTGCTTCTTTAATTGTGAAACGCTTTTTGATTTTATCTGTGAAAGGTGTATTATGCATAAAGCTTTACATTACTTACTTTAATTTCTTACCTTCTCTGACTTTTAATTGCCTCAACCCCTCTTTGTCGTTCGGATAAGCTTATAAGGGGGCCAGCTATGTCCTAGAATGCCCCTGGCACTAGTGCAAGCAGCATGAGACAAAAGTTCTGTAACAAAAAATACTATTACTGTATCACACCTATTGCATCTAAGAGGCTAAAAAGAGCACATCCACAGATCCTTCCTCCAGGCTGCAATTAAAATGTATAATCACAGTTACTCCCAACAAATTGAGTCAATGTTTTCGTGTATGCTACTAGTTACAGGTTTTTGATTTGATCAGTAATCATTTACATTACCCTAATATCAAGATTATTCAGGAAAACATGTCAACACATAATAAATAGTTGTGTAAAATGTATTTGGCAAATATAATCAGATTTATGAAAATACCCTTCATTTTTTAACCCAATGTTCTGAAAATGAACTCATAGTTCTGTCTGGATATTGATGATTTGTGCCATGTAGTTATTTATTTAAACCTTGAGGAACAGCAGCAGTTGTACCATAGCTGCAGGCATCAGAAAATTAGTTATAGTAATTATCAATCTCATACCTTCAGTACAGTTAAATAAAATTATCTTGATTTTGAAGCATAACTTTGATTTCAGCAAAGAATTGTGAACAGCAAATAAACATCCTAAATAAGACAAACATTGTCGTGGATGTCCTCCGAACGACATAGTAATTGGTACTAAGTCTTGCAAAAATTCTAAGTTCTTGGAAAAGCAGTTGAAAAATCACCAACAGTAGTCAAAAAGATGCAGAGGCAGCTGGGTCACGGTCCAGTATGGTTTATTGCAACAATACAAGTCCACCACACATGAGATGTTTACCGGTCAACATCTGAATGTTACAAAGAAAGGGGTCTGCTTATATACTCTCTCTGGGTTTTGGGGGCTCCTCCCCGAGCCCCTTCTACTTTTACATTATTTTCAGGTACTTTTTCCACGGATATCTTTATTATCTATTTACCTACCGGTGGAAAACCGCCTAAAGTACATATTTTTTTTAAAGCCTCGCCTATTCCGGACCTTTGGGCCATGGTGATACACATTTTGTTTACATTGACATGTCAGTATAGCTTGTCGTTTACATTGACACGTCAGTATAGCTTGACCTTTGGTTTCTCCACTGCCATGTTTTGTTTGCATAAACCCTCTTAATCTTATCTTGACCTCTGTCCTGCCACACACACATTTACTTAGATATATGTTAAAGCACACCATTTAAACATTGTGACAAGAATATATTCATTGTGAGACATTAATCCACTACATTCTATTCATTGTGAGATATTAATCCACTACATTCCCCCCTGTGGTCCTGAAAAGGATCACAAAATGGATCTACAAGTGATTGTCGGAGTACCACAAATGTAAATTTCAAGAGTAAATAGTAATTATATATGCACACCAAAAGCTAAGAGTGAGATTAAAACACACCATATACTAATAGTGAGTGATATAAGATGCTACGATAAAATGAATTATAATAAAATGAAGAATGCCATAAAACAAAGAGGGAACCCCCCTTGGCACACTTATGAGGATATTTCCTCTTGCTTACTTTTTTTGTATAAGGATTTTCAGTTGTTCTTTTAGCAATGATACGGGGCAGAGGGATGTTATGTCCAAGCAGCTTGATCATCTACTAGGCCACTACAGTCCATACCCAAAGGTGTCATTGCACACCAGTACATCAAACAATTTGATGTTAAAATATACTCAATCATGCCTGGGCTATGTCAGGCAAACTTGTCACCTAATGGTCAGTAGACCGTCATTACAACCAACATATGAGTGACCATATGGTACTCTCTGCACAATACATGTACTGTCACATACATTATAGGTATACACAATCATCTTTATCAGTTATGTCTAGCTTAGGTATACATAATCATCAATGTCCTTTATATCCAGTATAGTTTCTGAGATTAATGATAGTTTGGGGCTTGGGTGTTAGTAGGCGTCATCCCCCATGGTCTTGCGTTGGTATTTCCTGGAGCCTGTGGCCTCGACAGCTGCTGCGCCATTGTGGTGGCGACCACGCGCCCTTGATCCGTTGTCATCAGCAGCAGTTTCACCTGTAAGGTGATTATGGTCTGATGTGCCTCTTGAAGTTGTCGTGTCAGCTCGTCACGCTCCCGGATCAACTGCTGCACCTTTGCCTTCTGTCAGGCTTTGTATATGCTGCTGCGAATTGCGTATAGTTGCTTCCGTGAGGCTGGGGATAGACCTCTGACCAGCTGAGTATAAATCCCAGTGTGCATAGAGGTAATTTACGGCTTTAGATCTTGGGTGGCTTGGTAATACTCCAGAGGATGCATCAGGAACCCTGAGATGTGATTCCTTTCAGACGAGCTGAACTGCATGTGCTCTAAGACAGTCAGGTGGTTCTGGTGAAGAAGGACTCCTTATTGCAGTAGGATCAGTCGTCATCATGCCCGATGTAGACGGCAACTCCTGGAAAGATCTGACAGGCTGTCCGCGGTCCTCCGGGTTCTCGTGACTGGCAGGGGTGCTGTCTGGGCCGAAGTCGATCCTCAGGGCCCCAGGTGATGGCAGGCTGGCCATCGACTTCCCTCTAGGTGGTGGTTGTTGGTCATCAGGCTGCCTTCTGGGGGTCATCATGGGTCTGCTCCACCCCGGTGGTATGGCGCCTGGCCCCTCTGCTGGATCGTCTGGCTGCCTATTGGGAACACTTTGGCATGCATGTTACTACTTCTAAGTGAGTACATAATACATTGATTTGCAAATTACTACACATATATTTAACTGATCATTAAAGAAATGCATGTACCTGATGGGGGTGAGAGGAGATCATGGTACTATTTTATATGATTTGGTCTAATTGTACTTCTTGGGAATTGACCAGTTACACTTACAATAAGTCTTGAGACCAATCCCCGAATGAGGGGTATGACGCAGCAGACGACTATTAATATTATCATTATAATAACTCCTAGTATTATCCCTGCTGCTTTAAGATATCTTCCCCAACCAAGTTTATTGAACCAATCCCAAAACCCCTTCAGCTGAGTGTTCCAATTGGATTGCTGCACATGTTCATCTCTCATGCGCTTAATTTTTTTGAAGGACCCCGTGAGGCTGCCGTTAACATCTGTATGCATAGGGATCAAGGTACAACAATCCTCCCCGATATAATCACATAGCCCCTGGTCCCCAGCCATGGTGGATTCCAGCACAAACCTATGTTGTAGAACCATTAGTGAAGTGGCATGTAGCTGTTCTTTTACTAGATCCATGCCCTGTATTGTAAAATTTATAAACCTTTGTTGATTATACCATAGAAGATTTACCCACCTACTATTTCGGGCTATGTACTGCACATTGCTAATTGATCCGTAGAATGGGATCGAGCCGATCCCTCTACCACTCGTTATCCACTCACTCCCTATGGCAAAATGTTCTTCAGGTACCCCTAGTGGGACCTGATCCCAGGTAATATACATTTCATCTGACTCCACTGATGCTCGGAGGAAGTACTAGCTCCTTTAGAAGTGCTCTGATTACTCTGCCGTAGTTTGTAACACAACAGAAAAAAGCTAAAGGGCACAAAAGCGCATGTACTTCCTGAGGAGGATTAGGAGGGCCCACCTGCCCCCACCCGTCCTCACGGCCTACAGAAGCACCATAGAGAGCGTACCGTACTTTTTTTACGGTTGCTTATTTTATTAGACGTTTCAATAATGATTTTTTGATTGTTTATTATTAACTTTAGTTGGCCTGTCAGCATTACTGGAGAACAGATCCCTTCCCACTGAGGGGGTAGTGAGGCTAGTATTTGCTCATTGTTGTGACACATCCAAAAAATATCTCCTAAAGGGACAGATCCCTGCGCCAGACTCTTTACTCGGTATTGAGCTACAAAAGTAGGTTGGAACTCATGGATGATGCTTCCTCCATCTGGTACTACTTGTTTACAGCGTATTTTAGCTTTGAGGCTAGTTTCACATAGCTTAATGTAGCTGACGTTCCCTCTTAATGCCTGTGGGTACCATGGTTTACTAATACATTTCACCATTTTGTCTGCAGTCCACATCTGGTTAGAGGTTCTTTTAGT